AAGCCAGCACACTAGACATGCTCAACAGCGGCACGCATCTCCGACCCTCACTATAACCGCCATTTTGGAAAATGAATGGCGCCACCCAGAGCCGTATATGTAGAGAGTTTGGCCATTCGTTGGGAAGTATAGGAGACAAATGAGAAGGCGCCATTGGCTGAAACCGGGCTGGGCGTGTTCCAGGGCGTCTTCAAGAATTCGAATTTGACCAACCAGAAGCCGGAAATAATACCCTGGTGGTGGTCGCGAGAAACAAACCTGATAACTGCATTAGAGTAACTCTCAATGACTGAAAATATGGTACACGTGATTTTCAATCACGCTCATCCAAAATGATTGTGGAAGAGTGCGACTAGCGGAACGATCGACATAATCTGTACGCCAAGCGCCGAGGGCCGGGAATCTGCCGTCCGAGCGGTCAAACTCTGTCCCAGCAAAACAGGGTTGAGCGGTGCATGCGTTTCTTACATCTTTCTGCATGATCATGATCAAAACAACCACTGATCTCTATGTCAATTTGCTGGATCGCGTTTGACCAGCTCCTCCTATGGACCGGAATGCGGTCACTGGCGGCCATCTTTAGGTAGAGTTATATCATCTCTAGCCATCATAATAATATGGCGGACAGCGCAATGGCGGCAGTCTGCCATAAAATAGCTGTAGATCTAGTACACTGTACCGTGGGTGATATTTCGTGCTTGATTGAAGTTGTTCGACGAAGCAGATTCTTAAAACCCGGCGTGGACGGTAGCCTCATCTTTGAGGACCCGGCGAAAGTTCCTCGAAAGCGCAGCACCGGGGGAAAGCAGCGCAGCTCGCATCGAAAACAGACTCCGTACCGGCGTCTGCTTTCGATGCTCCTTTCGATGCGACTTTCAATGCGTGCTGTGCTGCTTTTCCCCCGGTGCTGCGATTTCGTGAAACTTTCACCGGGTCCTCAAAGGTCAGGCTATACCGTTCATGCCGGGTTCTAAAAGCATGTTTCGTCAAACAATTTCAATCAAGCACGAAATATCACCCACGCTATTTTGATGGCAGCCTGCCACCACAACTACCACAACGCTGTCTGCCATGGATGGATGATAGCGGCAGCAGCAGCTTACATTGGCTAGAGGCAATATAACTCTACCTAAAGATGGCCGCCAGTGACCGCATTCGCAGAGCGGCAAACGCGATCCAGCAATTGTCATAGAGATCAGTGAAAACAACACGTGCACCCTATTTTCAACCACAAAGAGTTACTACACTTCACTCTTACGCGCTTATTAAAACCATTTACGAACATAGACCTTTGATCAGAACTGTTTTTCGCTACCACCGCTAGGGGATTCTTTTCGGCTTCTGGTTGGTCAAGAGAGCATGTCAAGCCCTCTTTCCGAGTCTGGTGCACACCCTGGCTCTGCCCACTTGCTGCCCGCGCCTCCCATTGACCAAACACTCTGCATATCCTACATATACGGCTCTGGCTTCACCTACACCGTGGGCGCCACCTATAGTTAGTTGGAGTCGCGACTGGTGGCATAGAATCGGCTCCAGATCACGCAGCCGCTTGTTCTGGCTCCGAGTTGAGAGAGTGAACGCTGCTAATTTTTCTTCATTTTTTTTTTCCTTCGAATTCTATCGCGTTTGGGGAAAGACAAACGCGAGTTTCATAGGTCAATAAAGTCAGGGATTCGTTCAAAACGGTAGTTGCACAAAGTAAAAAAAAAATGTGCATCGATTTTTTAAGTAAAGCTGTAGTCCCTGACGGGATGACAACGGTAGAGAGGACTTGCAGTACTTGCGCCTCGAGTGCAAGCTTCTTACGTTCGGATCTTACGCTCGGATGTTCAGCCAAGGCTGAACGAAAGGCATCGTGTGCGCGCTGGAGGGGGTCATCAAAAAGCGACGCCCTCCTCGTCCTGCTAATAGACCTTTTTCTAAAGTCCCTCGATGTTTTTTCATTGCGAAAAATATCCAGGGACGTTACCTTTTTCGAGTCACGAACGCCGTCTGGGGAGTTGTCTGTGAACTACAATAGAAGAGCAGCCCAACATGCCACCACCCGTCAAAACATATTGTCATCGTGCCGTTGTATCGGTTTTCAGTGCAATTTATACCCCATATACTACCAATGCTAAAAAATAAAGCTTCAAAATAAACTAAATACGTGCGAAAATAGATGTTGACAATGTTACTGTCGCTATTTTCGCAGGGCACCGCGTCCCTGTGTCCTGCGAAAATGGCGACAGCGGAAATGTACGCATGCGGAAAAGCTTACTGGAAAAAGGTCGATTCAGTGCCCTCTAACGGTACTGTACGGCTTCTGTGGGGACACGCACCGCCTTATAGACGCTTTCAGCGAGTCAGTTACTCGAGCTGCCACCAGTCGGCGCGCCCTCCGCAACAGGGGGTTTCATAGCCTCACTTTCTTTGCACTGCGGAGTGAATATAGATTTCACATTTAAATATTCTAAGCTTAAATGGTAAAACAAAATGGCTAGATGGCGTAAGCTACCGCCCGATCCAAAGGGCTCAGCCGTATTCATCCATCCATTCATCCATCCTTCCGGGCCGCCATAGCCGACCTTCAGTTTCTCGCCGTTGCTGTGCCTTGTGTGCTGCGCAAACCACTACCAGAGCTTCGTTTTCGTCTTCTTTTTTGTTCCGCGTTGAAATCTTGCATTTTCTTTAGGTATTTTCGATATTTAGGACTTTCATTTAATCCTTTGATATCTATATTTCGACATAGCTCTTGTATTTTCTTATTTATGGAATGGAATCGGACAGCGAATGGATCGACGATACAAGATTATGAGGCTTCAATAAGCATGTAAGTTCATCCCATTCTTACGTTTTTGTCGCTAACAAAGGGCAGTCAACACTATTGTGACATATGCAAATTTCAACTGACGCAGTAAGGCTATCGCAGTCGTGCTTCTCACTGCATGTGCGCGCTCGTTTCCGTAAAGCCGACCCGCATGTGAGTGATTTAGCGTGCAACGAGACGAGTGACGGAGATTTCTCACTGTCGCCCGTCACATCGCTCGGTTTTGGGATTTCTCGAAAACGTCGCTCACCGTCTTGGTCGCTTGTTCCGTCACTTCCGTGCGGTTTGCCTTGTCGCGCGACTGACCGAGCGACAGCGAAGCGGGTCGCAGTTGCTTATCTCGTCGCTCGCCAAATCGCTTACATGCGGTTTATACTCAGTTAATTTACAAGCACACACCATTGAACCTTTGGTGCCTCAATATTAAGTATAAACTGCATGCAAGCGATTTGGCGAGCAACGAGACAAGCGACGGTGACCCGCTTCGCTGTCGCTCAGTCAGTCGCGCGACGAGGCAAACCGCATGGAAGCGACGGTAGCAAGCGACCAAGTCGGTGAGCGACGTTTTCTAGACACCCAAAAATCGAGCGACAGTAAGAAATCTCCGTCTCTCGTAGCTGAATCTCGTCGTTGTCGCCAACGCTCGTCTCGTCGCACGCTAAATTGCTTACATGCGGGTCGGCTTTGCGGAAACGAGCGCGCACAGTGAGAAGCACGACTGGATAGCCTTACTGTGTCAGTTGAAATTTGCATATGTCGCAATGGTGTAGAGTGCCCTTTATTAGCGAGAAAAACGTTAGAATAGGATGAACTTATATGGTCTCTGAAGCCATAATCTTGTATTGCCGATCCATTCGCTGTCCGATTCCATTTCATGAATACGAAAATACAAGAGCTGTGTTGAAATATAGATATCAAATTATTAAATGAAAGCCCGAAATATCGAAAAGACTTGAAGAAAACACACAATTTCAACGCGGAACGTAAAAGAACACGAAAACAAAGCTCCGGTAGTTGCCTGTGCAGCACAGAACGCGGAGCAAAGGGAAGAAACTGAAGGTCGGCTATGGCGGCAGGGTCACATGACGTCAAGATGGCGGCGCCCATGAAATGTTGCCTGAAAGGGTCTATAGGCCTGCTTCCCTCGGCCAGGGGGCGCTGTAACGTCCACGGGACTAAAGCCCCTCGATGTGTTTGCGCTTGTCTTGCAAGTAGCGTCAAATGCGCGAGTGCACGAGGCCCATGACTCGAGCGGCCCTTGGAAGCAAATGGCGGCGCAGCACTGAAATGAGCGGGAGGCACTCACTTGATCGAATGACGTTTTAGCGAACGCCCACGTTTCATCGAACGACACTTTAGCGAATAGTCAGACGCCGCGAAGCGGCGTTTTTGGGTGGGCCAAGTGAGTTCATATTTTTGTAATGAGTTGCCGTAGACTGTCGCCGCGAAGCGGCGTAAAGCGCAGCGCGACGGATGGGTTAACGCGCGCCCCCGTTATTCGCTAAAACGACCATTCGCTCAAATGTCGCCTTTCGCTAAAATGTCATTCGCTCTTCTGATATGGACCCGAAATGAGCGGGCCTTGGAAGCGAATGGTGGCCGAGCACCCGCTCCTCGCACGTGTCTCGCGCGCTTCCACAACAATGGTTGGCGGTACTTGTAAAAAACGCTTTTATCAAGGGGCTTTACACGGGACGGGACCACAAAAAAGGCGCCTCCGCAAGCGTCCGCGAGACGCGATCATTTGTTGCTGCAGTGAAGTGGCTTCCTGGTGTTGCACCATGCACCCACCGACGTAAACTAGCGTCTGTCAGAGTCCACGAACACTGACAGAGCGTTTGATGGGACGCAATGCCACGCGCAACAGAAACACAATTAAAAAAATATCCAAGTTTGTTCGCCAGGGCCGCTGCTCAAAATTCAAAACCAGAAGTTACCACCATCGCTAATTCTGTCGTCTGCTACTACGTCCGCCGTTGACCCTGGCCTGGCAAATATGTTGGTCTAATTTTTAACAGGAATGGAGTTACTGCTCGAAATTTCACGAGATAAAGTCCCCATCTAAATGCTCATTCGGTGAATGTTTTAACGTTTTATGTGCAAGTCCTGGTTTTTCCGATTGGTTAATTTTACAGCGCTCGGATCCACTGTGACGATACACGTCTTCCGCTGCCGCCAAGCGGGCACTAACCGTCAAGGCGTTGTTGATGAGGTCGTAGTCGGAAAGGTTCAGCGGCACATTACGCACTTCGACGCCGCTCACTTTCCTCACGAAGGGCGTTTGGACACTCAATCCGTTCACAACTGTGCTCAGCCTCGCCAGGTCGATCGCGTCGTAGTCGATGGAGATCACCATCTTTGGGGTGGAAGCGCTGTACACCTCCATCAGCTTCCTGACCTCGTAGATGCCGTCATCGTCTGAAATAATGAATGGATGGATTGCAACATGAAAGATTAGGCGGCATTTAAGTAGACTTGCGGGAAGGCAGCAAAAAGGCACGGGTAAAATATTTTAACAAATAAGTTGCGAAACGCTGCGATGGACAGAGGCAGCTGTTGCATGGTTAAAAGGTGTGCCTTAATATATTGGCTTCAGGAGCGTTGCTAATAATACAAAATGAACCCCCCCCCCCCCCCCCTTTTTCACGAAAAAAAAATTGCCGTGCTTTTTTTATTACGAATATGAACTACGCATCGCCGGACGATCTTTCTCCGCACAAAAGTAGCGCTAGACACCCGATCCAAATGCCAAAGTTTCAACCCGAACCGATATCTTCTTCCTAAGTTATAAATGATTTTCTGAAAACTTCAACGGGAGAATGGACGCCTTTTTCGCCCGTTTTCAATTTCTGGCGCTATAGAGCTTCATGGTACTAAAACCCGAGACTCGGAAACACAGAAGGGGACGAACACAACGCAACCCCTTCTGTGTTCCTGAGTCTCGGGTTTTATCACCATGAATCACCACCAGCTAGCTTGTTTTTAAGTATTGTTGCAGCTATTGAGCTTCATGTATTCAACAGCTCTGTTGGCCTCCAGTTTTCAATTGACATATTCAGAAAATCGCTTATAACTTTTGAACATGATATCGGTTCGGGCTGAAACCTTGGCATCCTGTTCGGACCTCTAGCGCTACCTTTGGGGGGATAATGAGCGTTCGAAAATGCGTAATTTATTTTTGCAATAATAAAAATTTTCGTGAATAAAATAAAGCGAGCAAGTGAACATATTCACATCGAACTATGGCGTGTAGCCACGATCACAATTGTTCCAGTTCTTTGTTTTCGACTATCTCTCGGGCACTTTCCCATCCCTTGAAGTCGGAGGTTGAAATAGGCGAATGCGATGAAATGCGGTAGTTTTCAACGAACAAGTGAGTGAAAACAATTAGGAGGGAAATGGTACGGTCTAGAGGACGACACCAAGGACGACGCCTAAGACCTCTAAGACAATCTCAAGGAGGTCGTCTAGGACAATTTTGTTTAGAGAACGGCGTCAACGACGACTTCTAGGACGACCTCTTGGACGATCTCAAGGATGACGTCCAGGATGACTTATAGGACGACGTTGAAGACGGCGTCTTAGAGGACGACGCGTCTAGGACATATAGGGCGACCTCAAAGAGAACGTCTAGGACGACCTCGAGGAAGACGTCCTAGATGATGACGTCAAAGATGACTTTTAGCACGACCTCTAGAAAAATTTTAAGGACGGCGTCGAGGACGTCAGCTCCCGTCAGCTTTGGTTACCGACGCTTGGGAGCTTACGCGACCGGCTCTTATGCGACCCGCGCTTACATAGCACTTCACCCACCATCGCTTCAGCCACAAGCACTTCAGCCACGGGCCTTTTGTGACCTTGATTACGAGACCTTGAGCGTGGTTCGGCATATAAAGCTACCGCTCTAAAAAAAAAAAAGAAAGGAAACGCCGTTCCTTCTGCCGTCCTGTCGAAAACGTGACGAGTTCATGTTCCAGTTCCACCGATGCAATATGGAACGGCGGCGTTCCTCTGTTCCTCCTAAAACAACACGTTCAACTTCGTTTCGTGCAATACTGGTCGCGTGTGAGGGGAAAAGGGGGGAGGCAGAATGTTCCATAAGCCCGAAGTGGCGGTGGAAAAGGGGGGGGGGGGGGGGGAGGGTTCAAGAGACAGAGGGGGCCAATAGCACACGCGCCTTGTCGTAGATGGCGTGAGTGAAAGCCTGGCCGCGCTATCACTCTCCATGGGATGACGTATTTTTTTGCGCACGAACCCTGCCGCATTTTTCCCGAAACAGGTATTGTTTCCGATGGTTGAGATACAAACTGGTGGGATGCGATCTCCACAGTTTGTACGATGCCCGGGGACGTGAAACGCTTCAGAATCACAAAGCTGCTGTTGGTCCGGCCAACACTGCCTGACGCCGTGATGCTCGTGTTGCGACTCTAAATACGAACTTATCTTTGTTTTCATACACATTAAGAACTGTACGAGTTATGAGTTCGCGAGACTCCGCAGATTATGCCCTCCAGCCCTTGAGACTATTCTGGTCGCGGAATGCGGCTACCGTCCTTTGTAGGCGTTCGTTCGCTTTTCGCCTCCCCGAATTGATACGACCTTTATACGATGCTTCTTGCAGCGGATTTTGTCTTCAGGGTCGGCATGAAGGAGGCAAAGGGTTTCGGACGGTTGGCGCCATGAACGGTAAGTGTGCACAAACAAGCAAGCAAAGCCAAAAATGTAAACATCTACGCCTCTGTGACTGCTTCCAAAGCAGAAGAAAACTGACACCATTTGGGATTCCTTGAACCTCTTCAGACGTTCGTAGAGCTCAGCATTCTTGGTCTACCTCGGCGCGGAACCATTTTCGAGTCAATTCTTTGCATTCAATTGTTTTATACATGAATATACACGAATTCCAGCTTTCCCCGAATGTTCAATGATAGTACGCTAAATTTCTGTTATATTTAGAGGATAAATTAAATTCTGTGTATCATCATACAACACTTCACGGTTTCCCACTCAGTTCAGCTATTGAGCAACGACGGATGGACGCACAAGATATCACGTGGGTTAGTTAACACAAAAATGCTACCCCATTTAATACAAAAAACAGATTTCGGATTGCATGCGAATACAGCTGTAAGTATTGCGGGTGCGGGTCGCGTGTGGCGGTCAAAACCACTATCCACGCAGGTCTTTGATATGATACGATATATATTTGTTTCAGGTCAAGAGAGCCGCGGCGCCGCAGAAAGGCAAATCGCCCATACGTCGAAGGCCTGCTGCGCTGCTTCTAATGATGATAAAATAGTATTATACAAATTAATTGTGTGAATGATGACAATGATGAGGGATTGGCTGAAGAGTGTCAGGCCTAGCAGCGGTCTTCACGACGGTGGATTTTGCGGGGCCGCCACGGCCTGCTGACTTATAGCAGTCAGTCTCAAGCGTCTGGCGAGGGTTCCCTGCTTGCCGGGTATACAGACGATCCGGCCAAATTTCCGGTGACGAAGGAAGTCCAGCACCCCCGTGGTGGAGCTCCAGGGGTTGGCGCCGGTGTTGGCTGGCGGTGGTCTTCGCGAAAGCGGGTCTTGGTGTATATGCCAGTTTGCGGTCGAGCTTGTGACCGAACAGGTAGGCATCCTGTCGGTTGGCTCTTTGACGATGAAAAAAGAACACGTCTACGCTCCGCTGGCTTCGTCTTGTTTTTCACAACTCTTGGCAGCACGAAGGACTGCTTGCGTGGCGGTCTGCTCGTGGAAAACCTTGCTAAATGCCAGCTGTCGCGCTCCGGGTAAGTGACAGACCCGTTTCAAAATCCCATCAAGCAACGTTGGCGCTCGAGAGCTTAGCTGACGCGATGGATGGTATACTTCATTTGTCGTCTCTGTAAGAACATTGAGGTCGGTTTCACGAGGGCAGAAGGAGAGTGGGCGGCTAAGTTTGAGGAGATTAAGGTAGAGTTCAAGGAGGAGAGGGAAAAGCGGGCTGTGCTTGAGGCGCAGGTCAAGGAGCTGGACGATGAGCTCAGGCAGGAACGGGAGAAGCGGGCCGAACTAGAACATCTCGGGGTAGGTTTTGAGAGGATAGAAAGAGACTGGGCGGTTAAGCTAGATGAATTAAAGGGTATGTGGACGGAAGTAAACAAAGAGAAAGAGAAGCGAGAGGTGCTAGAGGAGGCCTGGCAAGGTCAGCTGGAGGAGGTGAAGGCGACGCAAAGGTTAAACAGAGATAAACATGAAGCAATGGAATGGCTACTGGAGGTGAGGTTAACGAAGAAGGAAGGGCGAGAAGCAGTGGAAAAGGAGATAGACAGTGTGGGACGTACGTTAGGTGTAGAGGATACAGGGAGAGGAGACAACGGGAGCAGCAGTTGACGCAGTGCCGGTTGTAGAAAGCGAGACGAGGAAACCACCTCCTTTCTTTAGCATTCTGTGTGCTTCCTCCTCCCCAGCCAGAAAACTTTTCTTAGCCTGTCACTCACTATAGAGTGGCATCAAAGGCAGCAAGGCCGCTATACAGTACGGTGGTGCAACGGCAGCCCCCTACTCCGACAGCCACCAAACCTGCGATGAGGGAGAACAAAAAAAGTTGGCAGAGAGTGTTGGTGATAGGGAGCTCTAATGTGTCTAGGTGCACAGCGGGGATCGGAAGCAGAGTGGGGGAAGATGGGAAAGTGAATGATGAATGAACTCGCACTAGGTGAACTCGCACTAGATACGAGCTAAGCCGAGTTCTTTACGAACGCTGACGCAACCCACGTGTCTAATACATGTTCATATAGTTCGTAACCAAACAGCTTCTACTAGAAGGTGCTCCCTTTTGGAAAGGGCTTAAACGCGATCCAAACCAACGCGTTTTTGTGAGCGCGTAGGTCGTGCGCTTCTCGGAAATTGCGTATTTCACGACGTTTTTGCTGTTTCCGGAGCGCTTTCTGGGTCAGAAGCATGCGCGTTGGTTATGACGGTGCGCTTTTGGGCTAGCGGAGAGCATCTGCGCCAGACGGCGAAGAAACGCGCAGCTGGAACTAGTGCCCTCCACCGATTGGCCGGGAGAGGATATGGGAGAGGAGCGCCCTACTACGTCACAGCCCGTTTTTGTGCGCGTTCAGAAAAAGTTGAAATCATCCAAGTTTCTTATGCGCGCCTGGAAGGCGCAAGGATAGAGCGCGACGTCACGAACTACGCAATTTCCAGAAAGCGCGCGATCTACGCGCGCACGAAAACGCGTTGGTTTGGATCGCGCTTTAAGCGCGAAACACATGTACGACGAAACCGTCCGATCCGACGTCCGACCGCGCAATACGACGGTCGGAGGCGAGGGTTTTCAACGCTCTCCGATGCTACGAAAACCCTCGCCTCCGTCCGTCGTATTGCGCGGTCGGACGTCGGATCGGACGGTTTCGTCGTACATGTGTTTCGCGCTTTATGGAGTTGACCCTTGACGCTCCAGGCTTCTCGGGCCCCTTTCATGCAGTTGTTTCAGCACTCTGATTTACTGAAACAACTGCATCGCGGTTTTCGTCGCGGCTGTGTTAATGATCGATTGCAATATCAATATGTGTTCTTGCTGCAAACCCCCGGAGAATAGGCGCTCTGGTGGCAAGCGTGCTACTGTGGTAATTTCTTTTAACGGATCTCCCTCGAACGCGGCTCTGTCACTAACTAGAGCTCCTTAACCTTACTGGGCTGGTGGCCCCCTGAGAGGGGAAATCGCACTGTCGTCTGCTACGGGAGCCACCATCATGCCTCCCACTCGTAAGCAGCGGCCTATGACCTATTTACTCAGTTAGCGAGCATTACCACTTGCGAAAGGACGCGGAATAACTTACACCGCGTCGTGCGTTTCGTCATAGCCTCCTCTATGGTTTCGTCAACTGTGCGTTTGTTCTCGGTGCCGCGTTACCAATTTTTGAAAAATATTTTATAATTGATGCATCAAATATCTACCCTCAGCGTTTAATATTAACATACCAAGCTGCAACTCGTGGTAAGCATGACACGTTCTTCAGATTGTCTGACCTTCGTCCATACATCTCATTGTACCATACCCGTCTCATTCATCCTTGGTAAATTCCTCAATTAAGAACTAATTTTGGACGTCAGAGAATCAAGCATTTACTTCCGGAATTGTTAAATCATATCGCATCAATGGGATTTAACATCACTTCACGAAATAAAAGGAATATATCCAACATTGTAGAAATGTGTGCAAAATATTTTTTGTCTTGTGTTTTGCGAAATTCTAGTACATCTAACGTTGTATAAAAATGTGCATATTGTACCTCTTATTATTTGTTATCGGATTTCTTGACATTGGAGCCTTTGCTGTCTGCTTTGTAGGGGCGCCGAGGGCCGGTCAAGCTGTACAAAGAGCTTTTTTCCTTGGCATCGCCTCTTGTTCAAGGCGGAAGTAAAATCAATGTTCACGTTCAATGTTCATAACCCCATGATATTGTAGAGATGCCTGCATTCCAGTGCCGAGTCGGGGAAGCCTCCGTTGGGAATAATTTCAACCGCAAAGACTATTACCAAACAATCTGCTGGAGAGCGAATGACATAGTGACCGCTTGTGAAGAAACAGGGTTGTTACGCTGCATACGGACGACTCTATAAGGTCGGCCATCAGCTGTCGCCATTGGTACTTGTGTCAGCCGCAGTCGCTTCCGTTTCGCGCTTGGGGCGTCGAACTGTGTCCATCCATTTCTCGAGGGATTCGAGCACTTGGGACGCAACAATCCGGGATTTTCACGGACTCATCCGATCCACCGGTATCACACATACCGGATATCATAGGGTGTAAAACGGTGGCCGCGACCTGTGAAAGGCGGTACTTATCTTCTCGGAAGGTGTCGACACTCTACCAAGGCTTAGCCAGCAAGCAACGTTCAGGCAATCCATCACTAATTAGAGTAATTGTTTATGATCCCCTTTCTCTAACTGCTACAGCGCACTTGGGCCGAATAAACACTGTTGAAAATTAGAATATCCTGGTAAATTCGACGACATCTATTTATTTAAGCTTAAAGGGGCCCACCAACAATTTTTTGACCGGCTTGAAGTTCGCGCTGAAACGGAGCTCCATGAAAGCAGGAACACCGAGGAAAAAAAATATTACACAAATTCGCAATATTTTGTGAGTTATTAGCAAACTAAATATTGCAGAAAACAACTTTAAATAAGCAAAACATAGCGCTTCATGACGTAAAATGAAACAGTTTAGCGATTGGAGCAAAGCGGTTGGCCAATTGGACGCGAGTTTGGTTGACAGCCCTTCGGCCCGGTCGGCTCGTCGGCCATTAGGCCTAGCTGCAACCATCGTAGCTTTGCGATCGGGTTGCCATCATCGATGAATTTACCGGGCTTATCGGATTTTTAGTGCGGATCTGGGCGTCGCGCCGTACGAGGACACTCGACGCTAGCGCCGCGTCTCTGCCTCAGTCCGCTTCGACAGCCGCGGAACACTCGTCTCCCGCAACTCCGCCACCGGAGCCACCTCGGCGAGTAGGAGGGAGAAACTGGTGAGCGGTCCCGTTGGGCACCGGTCCCGTCGACGCACTTCACTCGAACAGTGAAAAGTCTGGCACAGCACTAAAAGAAAATAAGGATTCCCCTGGCTCCTCTTACTGCTTTTAGTTGACCGGGACCGGGGGCGGACAAGTGAAAAACGATGCGCGTTGTGTGCACGGATCACTTGTCTGCTCGCGATGGTACGTCGCGGACGCCGCTGGGAGGCGCGCATGAGCGACAAGGCGTTGTTTTCGCCCTTTTTGAACTTTACTTTGCAACTTTATTAGCTCTATAAAAATTACTTGTTAGAGAAACAATGACGGTTAACGTGTGATATACTTTATTTCGTATACTTTATTTCGCTTCAAAATTCCTGGGACGGCTCTCGCCAATCACGAAACCCAAAAAATGTGACGTATCCGTGACGTACAGTGAAAGGGAGCGCCGTTATGCGCGCGCATTCGGCACCTCGCGGCGCCACCGTCGGAGGAGGTGTTTCCGAGTTGTCAAATTAAAATATGATGCGCTAATATTTTCAAACTCTTTCGTTGTCCACTGGGTTTCCGGGACCACTAGCGTGTAAAAACCGCAAAAAGAAGTCGACGCTCAAATACTGTTGGAGGGCCCCTTTAAGTCCGGACCACGGTGTAAGGTATATATATATATAAATGTGGACACCTCGCGCGTCGCGCAACTGCCAATGTCCTTTTCTCGCCTTGGTTGCGAGCGGCGTCACCAGATGACTCTTAGGTATACGCTGCTCCGCCTGTCGCGGGTCAGATTTCTCATTCTTCTCTGTGGGTGACATATTTGTTTTTAAAGCCGTTTTCTGGATTCCCTGCGTCATGTAGGACTTGGCACTGTACAGTTGCAATTGGATGAACCTAAACAGGACCCAGTGGAAAAAGATTGAAAGATTAAACCACCAGACCATGAGAATAGTTACAGGACTCCCAAAATATACGCCCCTCGAAGACCTCCGGAAATACGCGGGGATGAACACAATAGAAGAACAGGCGGAGGCGCAAAAGATCGCACACTTTCAACGCCTAGAAAGAACCGCACACGGCCGGCGTCTTCTTGAGATTTCGGGCTATGCAGCAGAAGGAAGGTACCCTCTAGAGGACGCCCTGCCACCTTGGAAAGACATTGAAATAACCCACCGCAAACTGATACCCAAGAAAGGGATGGGAAGAAGAGCCTTCGCAGCTAAGAAACACAACAAGTGGCTGGAACAACGTACAGAAGAAGAAAGAAAGGGAGAAATAAGATAGACGGATGCCGCGAAGAACACCGCGGCTGTTTCTATAGCATGGACAGATGAAACGGGGAACAAAATTGAAACAACAAAACTCTCAGAACAGACGTCCGTCAGAGAGGCCGAACTGGCAGCAGTGTTGCGGAGTTGCCACTCCGGAGTTGGAATGATTCCGGAAT